CTTTTACCCATACAAGTAAAAACAAATGCAACCACCACACCTAAGGACTTGGAAGGCTGCAATAAATAGTTTTTTTTTTTTGTTTTAGAGAGAGTGTGTATGTATGTGTGTACCTCGGTTAACGTCATTTTCGGTTTATGAATGAAAATCCATTGAAAATAATGCCTCAGTTTACAAATTTTTTTCACAATACAAAGTGTATGTCAGTGCCGATTTTTAAATGCAATTGCCGGCTTTTTTTTTTTTTTTTTTTTTTTTTTTTCCTTCACTATAGCTCACAGAATTAGCTGTCACTTTCCCTGGAGTTAAAGGAAACTTTGTTTCTTTTAAGAAACTAACTTAGGGAAATAAGCTAAAAGGAAACTTTCTTTTAACTGGGGGGGAAAAACTGGCACCATAATAAATAAAATAACGTTGTGGGGTCCCCCCTCCATTCATACCAAGCCCTTTGGGTCTGGTACAGGTTTTGAGGGGAACCCCCACTCCAAAATTTAAAGAAAATGGCGTGGGGGACCCGTACCAGACCCCTATCTGAGCATGCAGCCCGGCAGGTCAGGAAATTCTTTTTTCGGGTCGGCAGCGACAGACATCGTGATTGACGTTGGATCTACTGCGGGGGACATTCTTTTAGTTTTTTCTTTTAATAAGGACTTGTCAAAGACAGTGTCTTGTCTTCTTTCACACTACACTTTTTGTTTTTTGTGAATGAGTAGTGGGACCATGTACCCCATACTTATTCACATGGGGGGGTGGGATCTGGGGCCCCCCGATAAGCCCCCCACAACTACTGGCCAGGATTGTGGGGAAGAGGCCCTTGTCCCCATCAATAAGGTGCTTGGGGGGGGGTGGCCCCTGCCCCAAAGCACCCCCCTATGCTGAGGGCATGTGGCCTGGTATGGTTCAGGAAGGGGGTGCTTGCTCGTGCCCCCCTCCTTTCCTGACCTGTCATGCTGCATGCTCGGATAAGGGTCTGGTATGGATTTTGGGGGGGACCCCACGCCATTTTTTTTTTTAAACTTGGCGTGGGAGTTCCCCTCAAAATCCATACCATACCAGAGACCCGAAGGGCTTGGTATGGATGGGAAGGGGGGCCCCCACGCTGGTTTTTTAATTGCCGGCAATTCTTTCTTTTACATTCAGCTGTCAATGGGGAACCCTGCTGACAGCTGAAACAATAACGCATCGTTGTCATTACTAAAATACCGCATGACTTGATAAAACAACGTGGTATTGTAGTAGCGTTTACTTTTTTCTGACCTCCAAAACGGACTAATTGGTTTTCAATGCATTCCTATGGGAAACGGCGTTTAAGTTTACGAATTTTGCGCTATACCAAGAGTCCCGCAGCACTAAAATTCATAAACCGAGGTATGTCTGTATATACATAGTTCGGTCCACATATATTTGGACACAGGCACAATTTGTTTTTTAGGTATTTACCAAAACACTATCAAGCTATAGTTATATAATGGATATGGGCTGAAAGTGCACACTCTCAGGTTTAATTTGAGGGTATGTACATCCAAATTGGAGGAAGGGTTTAGGAATTAGCTCTTAAGAGAAGCCACCCACCCCCTCCCCTTTTTGAAGAGACCAAAAGTAATTGGACAAATTAATATAATCATAAATAAAATGTTAATTTTAAATATTTTGTTGAGAATCCTTTACTGGCAATGACTGCCTGAAGTCTGGAATCCATGGACATTACGGAAGACTGGGTTTCCACCTTTCTGATGCTCTTCCAGGCTCTAACTGCAGCTGTTTTCAGTTGTTCTTTGTGAGTCTTTCTGCCTTTAGTTTTGCTTTCAGCAAGTGAAATGCATGCTCAATTGGGTTGAGATCAGGTGATTGACTCAGCCATTGCAGAATATTTCACTTCTTTTCCTTCAAAAACTCCTGGGTTGCTTTTGTAGTGTGTTTTGGATCATTGTCCATCTGTATTGTGAAGCGGCGTCCAATCAACTTTACTTCATTTGGCTGAATCTGGGCTGACAGTATATCTCTAAACACTGCAGAATTCATCCGGCTGCTTCTGTCTTCTGTCTCATCATCAAGAAACACCAATGACCCAGTGCCACTGGAAGCCATGCATGCCCATGCCATCACACTGCCTCCATGTTTTACAAATGACGTGTGCTTTGGATCATGAGCAGTTCCAAGCTTTCTCCACACTTTTTTCTTCCCGTCATTCAGGTACAGATTAATATTAGTTTCATCCGTCCAAGGAATGCTTTTCCAGAACTGGTCTGGCTTTTTAGATGTTTTTTGGCAAAGTCTCATCTGGCTTTTCTATTCTTCAGGCTTATGAATGGTTTGCACCTTGTGGTGAACCCGCTGTATTTGCTCTCGTGAAGTCTTCTCTTGATTGTAGTCTTTGACAATGATACGCCCACCTCCTGGAGAGTGTCATTCACTTGTCTGGATGTTGTAAATGGGTTTTTCTTTACCATAGAGATCCTGCGATCATCCAGTACTGTTGTCTTCCATGGACGTCCATGCCTTTTTATGTTGTTGAGCTCACCAGTGCGTTCTTCTTTCCTCAGAATGTACCAAACTCTTGATTTGGTCACTCCTAATGTTGCTGCTATCTCTCTGATGGATTTGTTTTGTATTTGAAGCCTTACAATGGCCTGTTTCACTTGCATGGACAGCTCCTTTGAATGCAAGATGTAGGTTCACAGCAATAAATTCCAAAAGCAAATACCACAATTAGAATCAACTCCAGACCTTTTACCTCCTTAATTGATGAAGAAATAGCAAAGGAGTAGCCCACACCTGGCCATAAAACAGCTTTTGATTCAGTTGTCCATATACTTTTGGTCCCTTGAATAAGGGGGGTGGCTACTCTTAAAAGCTGTAATTCCTAAATCCTTCCTCCAATTTGGATGCACAGACCCTCAAATTAAACCCGCTAGTGTGCACTTTCAGCCCATATCCATTATATAACTATAGCTTGAATATGTTTTGGTAAGTACCTGAAAAAAAAGTGTGTGTGTGTGTGTGTGTGTGTGTGTGTGTGTGTGTGTGTGTGTGTGTGTGTGTGTGTGTGTTAAGTATTGAACACATCACCATTTTTCTCCACATGTTGGTAACAACCCATGCAATCCATACATACAAAATAAACAAAACAAATAAGTTCAGAAATTAAGTTTTGTCTAATAAAATGGAATGACACAGGAAAAAAGTATTGAACACATGAAAAAAGGGAGGTGTAAAAAAGGCACTGAAAGTCATGACACCAGCTGAAATCTATTAGTAATTAGAAAACAATCCTGTCCCTTGTCAGTGCAAATTTATATCAGATAGCTCAGTCTCAACTGATGGCCTGTAAAAAGGTGTTTCATTACCAAGGTGTTAAATAAGAAACATCTCATGAAGGGTAAAAGCAAAGAGCTCTCTCAAGACCTTCACAACCTTATTGTTGCATAACATACTGATGGCTTTGGTTACAGAAGGATTTCTAAACTTCTGAATGTTCCAGTGAGCACTGTTCGGAGCAATTCGGAAGTGGAAAGAACATCATTTTAGCATAAACTGGCCATGACCAGGTGCTCCTCACAAGATTTCTGACAAAAGAGTGAAAAGAATTGTCAGAAGAGTTGCCCAAGAGCCAAGGACCACTTGTGGAGGGCTTCAGAAAGACCTTGATTTAGCAGGTACAATTGTTTCAAAGAAAACAATAAGTAATGCACTCAACAGCCATGATCTATAAGCACGCTCACCACGCAAGAAGAAAAAGAAAAGGCATGTTGAAGCTCATTTAAAGTTTGCTTCACAGCATTTAGACAAGCCTGTGAAATACTGGGAGGATATAGTCTGGTCGGATGAGACCAAAATTTAACTCTTAAACACCATGTTTGGAGGTCAAATGGCACTCCACATCACCCCAAAAACACCATACCAACAGTAAAGTTTGGAGGTGAGAACATCATGGTGTGGGGCCTACAGTACTTGCAAACTACATGTCATTGAAGGAGGGATGAATGGAATAATGTGCCAAGACATTCTTGATAAAAATCTGCTGCCATCTACCAGGATGATGGAGATGAAACGAGGGTGGACATTTCAGCAAGACAATGATCCCAAACACAAAGCAAAGGAACTCTCTAGCAGTTTAATTTCTTGCTTTGAAACCAGTTGAATGTCCCAACCAATCACCTCACTTGAATCCAATTGAAAATCAATGAAAAAAGATCAGAGTTTATAGAAGAGGCCTACAGAACCATCAAGATTTGAAGACTGTGTGGAAGAACGGGCCAAAATCACACCTGAGCAATGCTTGCGACTAGTTTCTGCATACAGTAGGCATCTTCAAGCTGTCGTTACCAACAACGGATTTCATACAAAGTATTAAATAAATTTTAGTTAGCATGTTCAATACATTATCCCTGTGTCATTCCATTTTATTACACAGACTTAATTTCTGAACTTATTTGTGTTGGTTTCTTTGTGTGTATGGATTGCATGGGTTGTTACCGACATGTGAAAACTTTATGACAATAGCACCTTTAGAAATATATTTACTAAGACAACTGGTGACTTGTTTAACCACTTGCCCTCCAGAGGATTACCCCCTTCCTGACCAGGTCATTTTTTGCGTCACGGCGCTGCGTTACTTTAACTGACAATTGTGCAATCATGCAACGCTGCACCCATGAAATGAAATTTACGTTCTTTTTTCCCATAAATAGAGCTTTCTTTCGGTGGTATTTGACCACCTGTGTGGGTTTTTTTTATTTTTTGCACTATAAAAAAAAAAAAAAAGACAATTTTGAGGGAAAAAAAAAAACAATATTTTTGACTTTTTGCTATTAAACATGCCCAGTATAAAAATGTAAAAAATCTAATTTTGTCATAAATTTAGGTCAAAATGTATTCTGCTACATGTCTGCTAAAAAACAAAAAGTCCCAATACGTGTAAATTAATTGGTTTACATGAAAGTTATAGCGTTCACAAACGGTGGTATATATACTGGGATTATTTAAATTTTTGTACTAATAATAGCGGCGATCAGCTGCAGTGGGCATTCTGACACTAGAGGGAACTGACTTGGTGTCACTGACATCCCTAGTGACACCAATACAGTGATCAGTGCTAAGAAAAAGCACTGACACTGTACTAGTGGCTTTGGGCAGGTAGGGGTTAACATGTGGGGCGATTGTGTGCTGTTTTACTGTGTGCTGTGTTAGTGCTTACAACTGTAAGCACACTGCTTTGTATGGCTGTGCTATGCACAGCCATACAAAGCAACATGCAGGAGCTGACAGGGGAGAGAACTGTATTGTTTACATACAGTTCTCTCCCTCTGTCGGTAATGCTCAACGATCACTGGGTTCCGGCGAGTAATCACCGGCTGGGACCCAGTGATTGACAGCCAAGGCCGCATGCGCGCGCCCCTACCCGGAAATGCAAAATGACGGATATATACGTGATTTTGTGCACCCCTGCTGCCCCGTAGCAGTATATCTGCTATAAGGCAGCGGAAAAGCAGTTAATACCTATTTTACCAGGTGTGCGTGTATACAGTATCTCCCAGAAGTGAGTACACCCCTCACATTTTTGTAAATATTTTATTCTAACTTTTCATGTGACAACACTGAAGAAATGACACTTTGCTACAATGTGCCGTAGAGAGCGTACAGCTTGTATAACAGTGTAAATTTGCTGTCCCCTCAAAATAACTCAACACACAGCCATTAATGTCTAAACCGCTGGCAACAAAAGTAAGTGAAAATGTCCAAATTGGGCCAAATTAGGCATTTTCCCTCCCCAGTGTCATGTGACTCCTTAGTGTTACAAGGTCTCAGGTGTGAATGAGGAGCAGGTGTGTTAAATTTGCTGTTATTGCTCTCACTCTCTTTTATTGGTCACTGGAAGTTCAACATGGCACCTCATGGCAAAGAACTCTCTGAGGATCTTAAAAAAAGAATTGTTGCTCTACATAAAAATGGCCTAGGCTATAGGAAGATTGCCAAGACCCTGAAAATGAGCTGCAGCACAGTAGCCAAGACCATACAGCGGTTTAACAGGGCAGGTTCCACTCAGAACAGGCCTCACCATGGTCGACCAAAAGAAGTTGAGTACACGTGCTCAGCGTCACAGCCAGAGGTTGTCTTTGGGAAATAGACGTATGAGTGCTGCCAGCATTGTTGCAGAAGTTGAAGGGGTGGGGGTTCTGCCTGTCAGTGCTCAGACCATACCCTGCACACTACATCAAATTGTCTGCATGGCTGTCATCCCAGAAAGAAGCCTCTTTTAAATATTATGCACAAGAAAGCCCACAGTTTGCTGAAGACAAGCAGACTAAGGACACAGATTACTGGAACCATGTCCTGTGGTCTGATGAGACCAAGATAAACTTATTTGGTTCAGATGGTGTCAAGTGTGTGTGCGGAAACAAGGTGAGGAGTACAAAGACAAGTGTGTCTTGCCTACAGTCAAGCATGGTGGTGGGAGTGTCATGGTCTGGGGCTGCATGAGTGCTGCCGGCACTGGGGAGCTACAGTTCACTGAGGGAACCATGAATGTCAACATGTACTGTGACATACTGAAGCAGAGCATGATCCCCTCCCTCCTGAGAATGGGCCGCATGACAGTATTCCAACATGATAATGACCCCAAACACACCTCCAAGACGACCACTGCCTTGCTAAACAAGCTGAGAGTAAAGGTGATGGACTGGCCAAGCATGTCTCCAGACCTAAACCCTATGGAGCATCTGTGAGGCATCCTCAAACGGAAGGAGGAAGAACGCAAGGTCTCAAACATCCACCAGCTCCGTGATGTGGTCATGAGGACTCCAGTGGCAACCTGTGAAGCTCTGGTGAACTCCATGCCCAAGAGGGCTAAGGCAGTGCTGGAAAATAATGGTGGCCAGACAAAATATTGACACTTTGGGCCCAATTTGGACATTTTCACTTAGGGGTGTACTCACTTTTGTTGCCAGCGGTTTAGACATTAATGGCTGTGTGTTGAATTATTTTGAGAGGACAGCAAATTTACATGTTTATACAAGCTGTACACTCACTACTTTACGTTGTAGCAAAGTGTCATTTCTTCAATGTTGTCACATGAAAAGATAGAATAAAATATTTACAAACATGTGAGGGATGTACTCACTTCTGTGAGATACTGTACATGCTGTAAAAGGATTTTCTGAACATATGCTATAATGGGGGAAAACATTGCTGCTGAAATGGTAGCAATCGTGTGCAACAAAATTGTTTAGAAAAACAGGCTTCTTGTTAGACCATGACTGGTTGAATGAAGTAAACATCTTCACCTTATTCACCAAGCTGAGTGACTATTCACTTGGCAAAGTGAAGAATTTATTTTCTATAACCTTTAGTAAGTTAACCCCAATGCCTAATGCTGGTCATACACCAATCATCCTTCAGCCAACAAGCTGAACTAATTAAATCAAACAGATTCCGCCATCCTTGCTATACAACAATTTTTCACCCATCTGGAAGTCGGCTGGGAGGCTGCCGACAGGGCCACTAGTGAAGCTAATTTCGGCCAGTTTGTCAAGAACTGGCCAAAATCTGCATAGAGTCTGTCCAACTATAGTGAGACCAGCTTGTTTATACGACTGCATATTCTCGATACTAGGGCTTTTGGTGGTGTTGCAAAAATTCTCAAATGCTTTTCAAAACTTTAAGTGAGAATGAGTACTAGCAAAAAGGGGGGGGGGGCACTAGGCATCTTAAGTGCAAATTTGTTAAGTGCATGATGTTTTCTGAACTGCTTATTTAACACATACACCCTGTTCCAAATTATTATGCAAATTCTATTTAAGTGTCATAAAGATTAAATATTTTGTTTTTCAGTTTAACTCATGGATGGCATTGTGTCTCAGGGCTCTTTTGATCACTGAAAACAATCTCGGACACCTGTGATAATTAGATTGGCAGGTGAGCCCAATTTAAGGAAAAACTACTAAAGGAGGGTGTTCCACATTATTAAGCAGAGCACCATTTTCAAGCAATATGGGGAAGAAAAAGGATTCTGCCGAAAAGAGTGAAATAGTTCAATGCCTTGGACGAGGTATGAAAACATTAGATATTTCACGAAAACTTAAGCGTGATCATCGCACTATTAAGAGATTTGTGGCTGATTCGGAGTACAGACGGGTTCGTGCAGATAAAGGCACATTGAGGAAGATTTCTGCCAGATCCATGCATCGGATCAAGAGAGCAGCTGCTAAAATACCATTACATAGCAGCAAACAGATATTTGAAGCTGCTAGTGCCTCTGGAGTCCCACGGACATCAAGGTGTAGAGTCCTCCAGAGTCTTGCAACTGTGCATAAACCTTCTATTCGGCCACCACTAACCAATGCTCACAAGCAGAAACGGCTGCATTGGGCAGAAAAATACATGAAGACTAATTTTCAAACAGTCCTGTTCACTGATGAGTGCTGTGCAACCCTGAATGGTCCAGATTAATGGAGTAGTGGATGGTTGGTGGACGACCACCCTGTTCCAACAAGACTGTGACGTCAGCAAGGCGGTGGTGGAGTCATGTTTTGGAGGGAATCATGGGAACAGAGCTGGTCGGCCCCTTTAGGGTCCCCAAAGGTGTAAAGATGAACTTTGCAAAATACGTGGAGTTTATGACAGACCACTTTCTTCCCTGGTACAGAAGGAAGAACTATGCTTTCCGTAATAAAATCATCTTCATGCATGACAATGCACCATCTCATGCTACAAAGAATACCTCTGCATCAATGGCTGCTATGGGGATAAAAGGAGAGAAAGTCATGGTGTGGCCTCCATCCTCCCCTGACCTCAATCCTATTGAGAACCTTTGGAGCATCCTCAAGCAAAAGATCTATGAGGGTGGGAGGCAGTTTACATCCAAACAGCAGCTCCGGGAGGCTATTCTGACACCTTGCAAACAAATTCAAGCAGAAACTGTCCAAAAACTCACAAGTTCAATGGATGCAAGACTTGTGAAGCTGCTATCAAATAAGGGGTCCTATGTTACAATGTAACGTGACCTGTTAAAATGTTTAAAAAGTTAAAATGTTGTTAAAAGTTTGATTGAAATAGCTTTTGGTTTCAGTAAATATGCTGCAAACACAACAAATGGCAATTTTCAGTTCTTTACAACCTATAAAGTGTTTTGAAACTTACTGTGCGGAATAATTTGGAACAGTGCATTGTAAGTTGTTTATGTTTAAAAAAAAATACTGTTATCATTAGGAGGTTTGTTCAATAAAATTTGAATTGTACTCTTAATAGTTGATAACATGAGAATTATGCTGACTACTATTTACATCAATTATTTAGGTAAATGAGAAAAATATAATTTGCATAATAATTTGGAACAGGGTGTATACTGTATGTTTAATAGGTACATAATTAGGAAAATTAACATTTTAGTAGGATGCTTTTATTTCTGGTTTGTAGCCTGGGTAAGCTCTTTAAAGCTTACCCAAATATGTCTCAGACACTTGCCTTAAAGCTTTTTTGGCTATACCTCTTCTATGGATCACAGGAGTGCAATCTGTTCTGCACTCCTGTGACCTGTTTTCCGCCCACAACGGGCTAAAGATCATAATTTTACAGTCGGGATCCATTCAAATGCCTGGACCAGCAGCTGGGTCAGCCTCTCAGTGAGCCCCTAGGAGACTGAGCCAGACGCTAACAAACCACTGTCTTTCATCCCTGTTTTAGAAGCTGCAGGGGACAGATGCAGCATCTACCTAGCTGAGTATAAATTTTTTTACATTTTAGGCCACCCCATACTTCTCTTTTAATTTCAATTTAAATATGCCTGTAAATCTACAGCAGGGGTCTACAAACGTTTGAAACAAAGGGCCAATTTACTGCCCTTCAAACTTTAGGGGGGGGGAGGCCAGACTGTGGCCAGCGGGAGTAGAAAATGCCCTGGCATCAATGGGAGTAAACAATGTCAACGCTTGGTATATCAATGGTGTCATCGGGAGGAAAAGTGCCACAATCATTGGTGTCACTGAGAGAATTAGTTCCCCAACTCTGGTATCAGTGGGAGGAATAGTACCCCATTGATGATGTCAGTGTGGGGGGGGGGGGGGGAATAATGTTCTGTCTTTAGTGTCAGTGAATGGAATAGTGTCCCAAGGACTGAATAAAGGCATGGACCATGGGCCACAGTTTGGAGACCCCTGGTCTACAGAAACGATGACAAGAAAAGGAACAGATTACATAACTACATAGCTTCATAAGAAACATAAAATGCCTCAGGCACAAAGGGATTGTTGATTGTAACTGTTAAAAGCTATAGTGGCTTTATATTTTAAGATAACCCAATTACAAACATTTATCCACAAAGTACATTAGGATTATGAGAGTAAAAGCAGGTTACCTTGTTCCATTGGGCTTATGTGCTGCTGCTTGTGATTTTCCAGTGTTCCACTTGCACTAGTCCCAGACAAAGGTGAAACTGATACTGCATCCTGTGATGTGACTACATTGACAGCTGAGACACCTGGTTTATATGAAGGGCTTGTAGGAGTACGAGGTATTCCTACTGATGGCTTTCTTGCTACAGGTGGGGGAATTTTGCTAGGTTTACGCAGTATTGGAGGCTTTCCATCTGGGCTGCGCGGTCCTCCTTGTGATTTGAGTTCTACTACCATATCCCTTTTTAATGAGGATTCGGCTTCTTGTAAAACATGAGGTTCAAACCCAAACTTCTTGGATCCTTTAGCAAATACAAAGCTAGCCGCAGAGGCTGGTGATTTGTGTGCAGAGGGGGAATCTGGTGTTTTTTGTGGACTGGGAGATGGTTGTGTGAATGTGGGACTTTCTCCTTGGGATGAATCAGATCCTTGAGAAGATCTGATAGACAGTGACTTGCGCACAGGTTTTTGGGGAGCAGGAATTCCTGAAGGGAGTTGTGAAAATTGAATCTGTGGGCCCCTGGCTTGCACAGATCGCAAACGAACCATCTGCAACAAGGAAGGGGTTACTATAGGCAAGCTTGCATCTTCTTTAAGTTGACCTGTGGTGCCTTGATTGTTTGTTGACAGTTTTTTGGTGCTTGGAGCACTGACTGGCTTCCATACATTTGACAGGTGAAGAGGTGATGTTCCTGTAGGTGAAAGGACTGAGCTAGTGGTAACTGCAGGTGATGGCATTACAGATGCAGGGGAGTCCATAGGAGAATGTGATATAGTGCTTGCAGAATTATCAGTGGAAACTTTAGACTCCTGCTTGCATACAGATTGATCCCCCGATATGTTTTGTGGTACACTGACTTCAAGTTGTTCTTTAGGTTCAGCATTTTCAGCTGCTGCTGTGGCAACAAAATGTGGTTTATATACCATTGATGAAATCAACCTTTCCTCTGAATCAACTGCTGCTGAGGGCACTACTACTGCTTCTGTTGTGGGAGGCACTGCAGACTGTTGAATGTCTTTTTTAGAGTCAAACACAGATGTAGTTGGTGTCTCCGAATTAACAGAAATTACAGCTGTATCCGGAGGCTTTGAATTTGTTAAAGGCACAGAATCAGGATGAGTTTCAACACTGTCCAAAGGCATCGCATTCTTGGAGACCAAGAGAGCTTTTTCTGCTTCAATCATCTCCTTGTTATCATTGCTGTTGACAGTCACATTTGAGACACTTTCACTACCTGGCTCTGAGGAAGGTGGTGGGGGCAAAAGGAGTTCCTCTTCAGGAGGGGGGAAATCTGCCATAGACATGTCCTGCAAATCAGGCTCCTCTGGAGGAGGTGGAGGCCACAAGGATTCTTTGCGTGTTGCCTCTTCCAATGCTGATGGTGGAATCTCGGCATCTGAGTCTGACTTTCGTACAGGTGGAGGTGTGGGATGATGAGACGGGGGTGGAGAAGGGGCAGGAGTTGCAACTGGGGCTACCAGAAAGTCAATACTTTGAATGGGGGGGGTGGGCAAGTAGGGGCTGGTACATTTGGATGTGGGGGAATTATATCTTGCCCTTCTTGATCTCCCATTGATGATCCAGCTCTTGGGGGACTGTCAAGGTGTAGAGAGTTGTTTTCAGCAGAAAAAGAACTTGCATTACTGCTTGATGCTGACTTAAGACTGGATCTTTCTGGCTTGGGTGGGGTTCTCCTACGAGTACCAGGAGACTCAAGAAGTGAACGGACAGGCAATGTTGGTGTCCCACTCTGGCTTGAGTAACCACTCGATGGAGACAATGTTCGGTCTGATCGAGTAGGTGAGCTTACTTTTGGCAGAAACACCTCATTTTCTATTGCTGCTTTGTCTGTTCGTGGAACCCAGGGGTCTCGGGCACTACTAGTCTTGCTTGAGGGCTTTTTCTCTGGCCTGGGAGGAAGTCCCATTTCCCTCTGCTGCTGTAATGAATAGGTACGTTTAGGAGGTGGAGGAGCCTTTTTGCTTTTTCGTAATGAAACACTACGAACAGATGAGCGACCGCTGCAAAGACTGGCAGCATCGGATCCATCTTGGGTACCTGTGCTAGGGGCTGGAGATGCCCGGCCAGTGCTTAGTCCAGATTCATGCTTTTCACTTACTTCCAACATATTCTCCCCACCTCGAGAGGATATGGTGGAAGAATCAGACACAATGGTCTCTGTGGATTGTGAACGGCTCCAAGTTTCACTGGAGGTAGACATACTCCTTCCCCGATGCAATGAGCCACGGACTGAGGCAGGACTTGCTGTAGCAAGGCTACATCGGCTTAAAGTTCGTACACTGGATCGAGTCAAGGCAACCACATCAACTAAAGGAGGAAGAACTGCATTTGGAATGATTTTAGACATGTAGGTTGCTTGAGGTGAAATAGACATGACAGGACTCACTGGGTCACTCTGGGATGAATGTGTAGTCATCCCAGGGACAGCTACAGATTTTGGGCGAATGAGGAGTGGGGATATCTTCTGACCAGTCTTCCAACCAATACAACTGTCATCTTGATACACTTTCTCTATGTGTCGTTGCAAAGCAGCTTCTGTTTGCTCTACAGCAGCCAATGAAATGTGAGCTCCATTGGGTGGGGCTTCAGTAAGCATACCGTCAACTGTAGGAATAACAACATACTCTTCCCTATCTTGATGGACTCCATTCACTGTTGGTGCTCTAGCTGCCTTTTCACATGGTTGACTTTGTCCTTTGGAAAACAATTCATGGATCCCACGATGTAAGGAAGTGGAATGGAGACCTACAGATAAAATAGACAGAAAATAATATTTTTATTAAATAAATGTAATTCTTAAGGAACTGATTTTAACAGAATGTGAAATAGAAAGGCAGACATTGACACTAAGGGAGGGATTTACTAAAACAGGTACACTCAGAATCTGATGCAGCCATGCATAGTAGCCAATCAGCTTCTAAATTCAGCTTGTTCAGTTAAGCTTTGACAAAAAACCCTGGAAGCTGGTTTTTTATGCACCAAATGTTGTAGCATGCAGTTTTAGTAAATAACCCCCTAATTTTCTTCACTTGCTTACCAAGTTCTGCTGCAATGTGCTGTGGAACTCCTACAACAGTTGCTCTCTTCTCTTTGCGTCGTCTTCCTGTTCTACCAGATGGCCAACTGGGTGAATCATGAGGTCTAAATGTGGAGCCTAAAGAGAAAATAAGAAAATCCTATAGTTATAAAGTAACATCCAGGATGGTTTACCATCAACACACTTGTATTACTTACAACTCTTGCCTATTTTTAAGGTAATTTATTATGACTTGAGTTTTTATTAGTTGCATCTAGTTGTTCTTTTTCATTTTATTGTTCACTTGAACAGAACTGTGTTTTTTGAATACACGAAGTAGTTGCCCTTGACATAGAAAATTAATATTTCTGCTTGTTCATAGAGTAAAACAGGAAGATAGAGGAAATGAACACAATTAATGAGCCAATACAAGGTAATACAATACTTCCAATGACCATATTTGCTTTCTTTACACAATCAATGTATAAAAACAGAAATTTTATGTTTTTATCGCTCTTTAAGAGACAAAGGATCAGCAGTAATCCATAGACAATAAATTCATTCTGCCACATACACTATCCACACAGGTGAGGTTCTGCAACCCAATTAAAGCTCTCCCAGGCTGTTGTATGATGCTACACTGTGCCAAACTAGCAGTCTCCATCTGCTTCCCAACAGATACTTGTGAACAAAAGCAAGGTGAAAGGTAAACTACATTTTCTTGATTGAAAACGAGCAATAAAACGCTGCATAGCATGACCCACGCTAACGCACTTCAGTCCAGAAAAGACCTTGTTCAAGTTACACTGCCGCTTTCAGAAGGAATTGGACACTAGCAAAAAACTGAAGCATGATTGGCCATCAGCTTTTTTGCCATCCAGTGTCCTAAGAGAATGAATATCTTTTCTCTGTTGAGAAAAGTCTTGCCATTTTTACTAGTCATTTTTTCTTCTATCAAGATCTGTTTTACCTCCGTAAAGACTTTGATACACCAATGAGCATTATGCTTCGGCTAATCCTGGCAATGCATTGGAGGCCGAATCCAGACCCTGACAGCCTGAAGATGGTGAGGCCTGCCTGTTATTGCTTACTCAAACTGCAGAGAGTGTAAGTGTACTTTAATGCATTCGCCTCCAGAGTCCTTTTCTCACATTCCTACAGCTGTAGCGGCCTCGAAGCCTTCTGCTGCAGATGGAGAGTCTCACAAACCCATTCTAGCTACCATATCCATTCTTATTGACACAGTGCACATCGGTTCAAAACTGAAACAGCCTGTGACTGATACTAGTGTTCTTACTGGTCTGGGTTCCCTAAAAGGACCCAAGATAATCAAAACCTTTCCAGTACACTACTTACTCAAACTGGCACTTTTTGGAGACTGGATAAATTCTGATAAGTCATTTTAAGGATGCCCCTATGTTTCAGGAACTTGTTGAATGTCTAGAAACCCTTTCCAATTCTTTATTTTTGTCAGCAGCTATGCTATTTAAACTGCAATAGTCATAACTTAAATTTGTCGAACATTAGGAGAATGGATTACACATAAACCTAAGGAGCTAGCTGCTGTATTTACTGACCATTTTGTTATGGAGTGCCTAAAGCTTATGCCTGCAGCATTACACTTTTGTGTAAGCAGGTTAGTGGATATTGTTTGGCTCATTTCCTGAATGAGTTTCCTATCTGTCAATATCCAGAGAATTCTTTGGCTGAAATGTTGGTCTGTGGAACAGCAATACACAAAAGGCTTGCTGCGCATTCCCTTTAATAGAGAACATCTCTTTGAGCTTGCCCCAGCAAAAAAAAAAAACAAAAAAAAAACTTTGGCCTCAGATTGGGAAAACTCCTCATGCCTCCGAAGCCAAAGAAAGTCCCTTGTTTTTTTTTCTCTCAGACCTCCAACTACTAAGCCTGACCCAAGCCAGGGCAAATGACATTGCCGCAGCAAAAGAAGCAGAAAAAATTGTCTTGCACAGAACCTTACATTCCAGGTATGGACAACTAGCATGCAGACTATCTCAACCAGCAATTCTATGATTTGGGAGAATAGTCTCTTCATGAAGAGGTCTTTTGGGACCTCTGTTACAAGTGGGGGATGCCAGATGAAAAACGTCTGGCCTCCAGGTTCAATGCCAAACTGCTCAGGTTTATCTTCAGATGCAGGAATTCACTAGGGGAAGTAAGGGGAACTCTTGTAGATTTTCACAGGATTTACTATTGTACACAGAGAGCTTTCTGCAATTTGGATGTTAAAAAGGCAAATATTGTCTAGTAACCTGGACTGCTAGCAAACCATTCCTTAGTTAATACTTTTTTGCAGGGTACCTTCAATGTAGCCACACCTGTACAAACACCAATGACTCAGTGGGGTCTAAATTTTGGTTTTCAGCTCTTCAAAAACTACCTTTTGAATCTATCTGAAACATTCCACTTTCTGCTCTTACTCACAAGTACTTCTGTAAAACATGAGTCTCAGTTGGCTGCCTCGTCCTGTAAGAGACCATTTTCTTATCATGTACAAGGACATAGTTGTATTGAGGACTAGAGCCCCCTTCCTGCCTAAGGTGTTTTCGGCCTTTCATCTCAATCAGGAAATTGTGCTTCCATCATTCCCTTTCCCTCCCTTTGTCTGGCCCCAGTACATCCAACAGAAATTTCTCTGCACTGCATGGATGTGGTTCTTGCTGTTTGTGTCCATCTTACAGCTACTGCTTCTATTAGGAAGACTGACCCCTTATTTTGGCCCTCATAAAAGGGAAACAGCTTCTTGATCCACCATTTCTGCTTCAGAGATTCCCTAGGCTGTCACCTGATCCCCTATTCATACATTCTTCAAGTTTTACCAGGTGGATATTCAAGCCTCATCTGATGTCATGCTTTCATCAACAATTACAACAGTACCAGGTACAAGTTTAAGCACATAATAGGACACAAAGTGACTCAAGGAATTTGTCAATGGGCCTTGGGTGGGCGCTATCTTCAGTGGCCATTATTATAACGGAATTCACACATACTGCAGTGACAGACATTTTACCACATTGTAAACTGTCACCACAAGAACACCCAGGAAACAATTGTTTCATATGTGTCCCATTCACACTACAACACAACCTAGAGCTACACCAAAATGCAGACGAGCTGCATTTTATCACAGCACATCATGCCGAATTGCTTGGCAATGTACAACACCACATCACATTTCTGTACATTGCCATGAATAAAGTACAGTTGCAAGAAAAAGTATGTGAACCCCTTGGGATTACGTGGCGTTTTGCATGAATTGGGCATAAAATGTGCTCTGAACGTCATCTGAGTCAAAACAATAGAAGAACACAGTCTGCTGAACATAATACTACACAAACATTAGATGTTGCCGTGGTTTAATTGTGCATAACATGTAAACATTCACAATGCAGGGAGGAAAAAGTATGTGAGGCCCTAGCTTAATGACTTCTCCCAGAGCTAATTGGAGCCAGGAGTGAGCCAACCTTGACTCCAATCAGTGTGATGATATTGGATGTGTTCCTGACAGCTGTCCTGCCCTTAAAAAACACACACCTGTTTTGGGTTTACTGGTTTCAAGAAGCACTGTCTGATGTGAACCATGCCTTGCAGAAAAGAGCTCTCAGAAGACCTACGATCAAGAATTGTTGACTTGCATGAAGCTGGAAAGGGTTACAAAAGTATCTCCAAAAGCCTTGATGTTCATGTGTCCACGGTAAGACAGACTGTCTACAAATGGAGAAAGTTTAGCACTGTTGCTACTCTCCCTAGGCGTGGTCGTCCTGTAAAAATGACTGCAAGAGCACAGCGCAGAATGCTGCATGAGGTAAAGAAGAATCCCAGAGTGTCAGCTAAAGACCTACAGAAATCTCTGGCACATGCTAACATTTTTGTTGACACATCTACAATAAGGAAAACTTTAAACAAGAATGGAGTACATGGGAGGACACCACGGAGGAAGCCATTGCTGTCCAAAAAGAATATTGCAGCACGTTTGAAGTTTGCAAAAGAGCACCTGGATGTTCCACAGCACTACTGGCAAAATATACTGTGGACAGATGAAACCAAGATTGAGTTGTTTGGGAAGAACACACAACACTATGTGTGGAGAAAAAAAAGGCACAGCACACCAACATCAAAACCTCATCCCCACTGTAAAACATGGCGGAGGGAGCATCATGGTTTGGGGCTGCTTTGCTGCCTCAGGGCCTGGATGGATTGTTGTCATTGATGGGAAAATGAATTCCAGAGTTTATCAAGACAAAATTACTCCTCTGCTCCACCACAAAACTTGTACATCTCCCCCTCATTGCTATCACCTCCCTACTACTGCTCTCGTAAGGCTGTAGCTCACAGTGTAAGTTGACTATGGACAGAGGAAATCATGAGGATGGCATTAGGGGCATGAGCCACACATTATGTACAGACCACAATGGTCTGACAGACAGCCATGAAAGCAAACCACAGGTTGGAAGGTGAGATCTGCCAGGAAAAAGAAAGCTATGAAGAGGGTCTATAACTCCTTATCTACACAGAATTTCCATCCACGGGGACTTGGAGGGTATTAGGAAGGAAATGGCAGGCTCTACCACAGGGAATGCCTACCTGCACATAAAGCTTTCCCCAATGGGGCAATTCTGAGCAAAACATTTTGGAAGAGAAAATCTCCGAATGAGACCAGTACCCATACAGGATGAGCTATTCTCTTAGTCCACTGATCTTCCTTCTCTCTGCCCATATGAGGTACAGGCAGATAGCTATGCTGAAAGTCTGCAGGAGCCTGAGATTGCTGATCATTGATCCAATGCTTTCCAGTCTCCTAAAACAAACAATAGTAAATGCAAATTTTATTTACCTGCATTTATTATTTTTTGTTAAAAGGTGAACTTATCCTTCAAAAAAAATAAAATTGTTATCTAATTAAGGGAGGAGGCTGGAGGCAGGGTCAAATAATTTGTTTGTTTTTATTTATTTGGGGGGGGGGGGGGGGGTCAGGGAAGGTCCACTTTAAACTAAAAGTTAGGTGCTTAACCTAACCTTAAACTGGAGGTGGGAAGGTATTACAGGAAACTGCAAACTTTGAAAATCTGTTTCACATTCCTAGTCATCTACAGTAAGCAGCAATCTTATGTATAGTGGTATTATTACCTTTTCGCTGGATCATCTCTGAACGAACGGACATTGTATCATCTGTATTCTCTGTGGAGCAGGAAAGAGAGCGAGTACGGAAAGCATCCTCAATGACTTCAGTTGAGAGCTGTGGGTTGAGACAGAACAGAGTATACATGAATAAATACGGCTAGCACTAGGATCACACTGAGAAAGTAAGTCTGTTGGATATCATCATGAGAAATGAAAAAAAAAAAAATCACATCATATCAAATTCAATGAAATGTAACATACACAGATTCCCTTAAAGGAGAAGGGCAAAATCTCTTTTGGCCCTACTTCTACTGTTGGTCACAAGTGTGCATTTCGTTCTACACCCTTGTGACCCGTATTCAGCCAACAGTGGGCTAAGTAAGTATGTAGGGTTTTTTTAATTCCCAAAATTCTGTTTTAAGTCTCCACTGCCTTTTTCTTAACCTGTATGCTGGTGTTAGTGGAAGATTTTTGCACACATTCATCTGATCACCCTCAGAGTTCATGCACGACTTTGATATATGCTATCATCCTCTATGTTCCACTTTCTCAGATATCCTTCTCCATGTTATCTTTCATCCTTTGTGGTGAGTCCAACACCCCCCCACTGTAGCCCTTTCTCACGTTGCTTTTTTATTTTGCCTGTCTAATCTCCATTTGTGTCTCTGCTGCCCTACTCTACAACCCTTTCTCCCAGGTCAGTTTTTACTACTCTCCTTTTTAATGTGCTGACTTTCCCTCTACTTTCCTGTTCTCTGATCTCTGCCTCCCATGCCACTGTCCCTGCCCTAATCTTTTTTCTGTAATGTCCCTCTTCTGTGGACTCTCCAACTTTGGCTAAAAATGTTTAATACTTCTGGTCTTTTGTGACTTCTCTCTTCAGCTCTAATGTCAAAAGTACAAGCCCTGTACTGTAAGATAGGCATTTTTGATAGGAAAACACAATCTAAAGCTGCCCTAAAGAGTTATTATATATCTACACAAAGATTTGTGTCCACTCCCAATATTATCACATTCATGAAAAAGGCTCACATTTGGTCATTTTTCAAGTATGCTACAAAACTACTCAAAGCAGGATTTCTGACTGTTGCACTAGGAAAGCTCCCCCACCTCTACCCTCACTGTGCATTTCTATAGAAAACTGCATGACAAGCTAGATCCCCCGAGGTTTCAATATCTCTGCTTAGTCAACAGAAATTTTGTAACCTATCCTTCGACATCCCAAAAGTCTGCACTGATTTGCTGTGATTTCCTTCTTTAACAACATGATCTACTTCAATTGAATTTATTTCCACATAAATGCTTTAACCCTTCAGAAGCTTTTTGACAAATCTGCAATTTCTACACAACACTGTCAAAAGAAGCATATATAATATGTTGCATACCTCAGATGTATTGTTTTCCTCCTGGAATGGATATTTGTTGTGTTTTTCTGAAATTAAAAAAAAAAGTTACAGCAAAACACAGTGAAAAGAAATAATGATATATTCAAACATATCTAACAAATATATTTAAACATATCTATCAAATATGTAACAGTGATATTATATAGCTTGAAAAATGAATTTCTTGTCTATTAAAAGACAGGTTAAACCTTCGGTTATACTGCGGGCTACAAGAGAACTGGAAACTGCCAAATGAAAAAAAAACCTAGGCCATCCCAGGAAACCTCCTATTACTACCAGCCTTAGTTTTTTTATATTGTCCTAGGCCAGGGGTAGGCAACCTGAGAGCCGCAGGACTACAAGTTCCATCATGCCTCTGCAAGTCATAGCTGTAACTGTCAGTTTTGTAATTTTTGCAATACCTCATGGGAAATGTAGTTCCACAACAGCTAGAGAGCCACAACCACAGGTTGCTTACCCCTGTCCTAGGAGGATGGACATGTTTGTTAGAACACTTTATCTATTCCGTTGTAAAGGCAAACCTATGCTATGATAGCGCTTTTTGTTGCTGCTGCTACTAAAGGTTCCCCCTCTGTTTCAAAGCAATTCAGTACGGTTATCTTCAGCCTAGGCCGGTCAGGCTGAGCATCAGGAGCTTTGGTCCATGAGCACCATTATTCCCCATTCCCTGTCATCTTTGATGAAGCAGGAGTTAGCACTGTGGAACTGAGCACTGACATTATCCCCCGGTGGAATGTTGTGCGCAGGGGCGGACTGACAACTCATGGGGCCCCCGGGCAATAGGGGATCATGGGGCCGCTCTGTCCTTGCTCAAACTCAAAAAAGCCTATGAAAAAGGTACCAGGGGCATCTCATGGGGCCCCCTACTGACCCCGGGCCCTCGGGCAGTGCCCGAGTTTCCAAATGGTCAGTCCGCCCCTGGTTGTGCGTGTTCTCTTTTCTGCCATACAGCGTCGAGGATGCATCTCCCTACTGCTGTTACTGTTTGCAAACATGGGGCAGCACAGTGGCTAAATGGTTAGCACTTCCGCCTGGCAGTACTAGGGTCGCTGGTTCAAATCCCAGCCACGGCACCTCCTTCCTGGAGTTTGCATGTTCTCCCTGTGCCTGCGTGGGTTTCCTGCGGGTACTCAGATTTCCTCCCACACTCCTAAGACATGCTGTTAGGTGAACTGGCTCCTGTCTAAATTGGCCCTAGTATGTGTATGTATGAATATGAGTTAGGGACTTTAGATTGTACACCCCTTGAGGGTTAGGGACTGATGTGAATGTACAATATATATGTAAAGCGCTGCGCAAATTGACGGCGCTATATAAGTACCTGAAATAAACATCCAAAGTGGAACTTCAGTCTTTTCCTGCTACTCTCTTACAGTTACTACATCCAACCCTTTAGCCACTGACACTTCATCTGCTACCAGCTTTCATGAGTAATTAAGGCCTTGCCTCTTACCTTGATCCTGTATGCTGCCTAACCACACTGCAGCTGCAACATGACCAATTCTAGACGCAGGGTTGGCTGGCAGTCCTACTATACGGGATGCCCCCAGCTCATCCAACTAACAGGTTGTGGGTTGCTTGCAGTGCACCTATTGAGAGTGCCAACATGTGAAGCCTAGAGTCATGTTCTCTGCTGTCTCTCCCCTCCTTGAAGTCCTCTTTAGCTCTGTCAGGTGTGAATGGGTCCGCTGTCCTTTCGGCTGAGGTTTTTTACCATGGTCATGCATGACTTTAACTTACACAGTTTGTTTGCTGATTCTGATTGCAGAGGCCATAAACATGCTCTTGTGCCCTCTCCAGCAGATTCTAAATCTAGCCCACAACCTTGACAGTTTATAAGCCATAGACCGCAAAGACTCAGACTTCGGGGTCACTGAAATCCTTGACTGAGGAACTCACCCCTAAGAAGTAAAGTCTACTGCTATTACAGTTAAATTAAGAGCTGCTTCACACTATAGAAATGCAGTCCAGATGCATTTTCGCATGCATGTTTTTTGATGCGTTCCAGTGTGTTTTTTCTGCATTCCAGTTAATTTTTTCCCCTCTCTTTTCCTTCAATTTCAATAGGGAAATGTGAATTCCAGTGCGTTTTTGATGTGTTCCACTACGTTTTACTGCGTTCCCAGTTCTGTGCAGAAAAAATGCAGGATGTTCTACTTTTTTTCTGCAGCCTGAATGCACTGGAACTGCAAGCACTGATGTGAACTATGACACAGACAAACAACCATATGACCTACTTTCTGTGTGTTTTGGATGCAGAAAAAAAAGCAACTGAAACCGCATGTAGTGTCAACTGGCCCAAAAGGAGACTGTTTCAGCTCTTATTGATGCAGTGTGCCCCACTCAAACTTGAGGATCAGCCTGTTGCATCCATCAGGGTTGTTTCTCATTTTGGTATCCAAAATACCACCCAAAACGTACTCTCTACTCCTCACAAGACCTCCTACTCTCTAGTTCCCTGGTCTCCTCCTCCCATGCCCGTCTCCAGGACTTCTCCAGGGCTTCCACCATCCTCTGGAACTCCCTACCCCAATCCATCAGACTATCACCTACTTTCCTCACCTTTAGGCGCACTCTGAAAACCTCTCTCTTCAGGGAAGCCTATCCCGCCCGCTAATTACTGAACTCCTCCACTCTTTCTACCACTCCATCCCCCACAGCTATTTCCTCCTGTACCACTATCCCCTCCCTCCTAGATTGTAAGCTCCAAGGAGCAGGGCCCTCGAACCCCTCGTGTATTAAATCGTATTGTTACTGTACTGTCTCGTGTACTGTCTCCCATTATAATGTACAGCGCTGAGCAAACTGTTGGTGCTATATAAATCCTGTATAATAATAATAATAATAATAATTTTGGGTCATTTAGGACTACTAAGATCACAAAGACTTTCCCTTTGCTCTTGCTTTGCTTTTCCAACTATTTCTCTGGACATTGGAATCACCCTGATAAGTTGTCTGCTACCCTAAGCCCCTACTGACTTTGTATCCGTTTTGTGAGAATTTTTTTCAGAAATGGTCCATTGCTACTGAGGATCTGGCTGTATCTCAACCTAACAATGTGGCTACCATACTGGTGGAGGATGCACCTGCATTTAAATTGTATTTTCACCTCTGCAGTCAAACTGAGAAACCCCTACTAGTTTGTTATGTGTTCCTATTCACACAGCATACCTAAAAAATATATTTTTTACAATTCTAGTTGTTTCTTTGGAGCAAATTTATACATAGGACTCCACAGGCAGCTATTATTTTTCAGAATAGCTTACGCTGTGCAATGAGGGGACAGTTTTTTTTGTCTTGAGGTATTAAACCCAAAAGCAAACACTTATTATATTGCTCACCAATGGCTGCATTTGTTTTCTGTGTGTGTTTGTTGTTTTTCAAAAGATGTATCAAGTTATAGGGATGAGACAAACCATTTAATAGTGGCAGAGGTGCCTACAATGATCAGCCTTTAGTTATTTATGTAAACCTATTATCTCAAAAGGAAATAAACGGTTGCTGTAACTGCTTAAACAGTGTTAGCTGGAACTTGGCTTCAGTTTGTTAGTGTATTTAAATCTGCTAGTACATCTAACATTCCCCTCCCCCCAGACTGACAATGCTGCTGTCCAAAGTTTTCCCCTGTACTTAT